TATTGCTGGGAAGATTGGTTTCACCAAACCACGACTTGTTTCTACGTCCGAAATCATAGTCAAAGAAGAATTACAGAAACAAGTTTGTATGTAATTGTTGTATTCTACATATATGCATTTCGTATTTAATGCAATAACAACAATATAATACAATACAATACAATACAATACAATACAATACAATACATTTCATATTAAATCATAAAGCTATACACAGTATTCGGTAACAAATTACCATAACATGTTAATGTTATTTAATTACTGGGTAAAAACGGATATTGATTTAATATAGGTGGAATCAACTATATCTCTGCCACGTATCGTCTATTCAAGCCTTCCAAGCATCAATATGATGTGCCACAGAATGTGAAATACCGTGGAACCGTCACTGACTATGCCAATGATCTGATGATAGACTCCAATAACACTTTTAAGGTAAACTTATTACCCAAACCATTAAAAAGTCCTGTTCTCGAAAATTCATTCAACTTTTGATTCCAGTTTATATATTTGGTAACATTATCTGAAAGTTAACCCGCAGAATTTGTAACTGTTTTCAAGATGTCGAATATAATTCTGAAACATGGCTTGTTAGTTATTGATTTAACTTAGTAAGATGGGTCTGTTAACTTGCCGTTATCCGCATTGCGCCCTCTAGCGAAGATTTTCCTCTATGACGTTGATGGGTGTAATTCAAAATATGATATTTCTTTTTGGGTTTGAAGTCGTTCTTCATTTATGATAAAATCTCTGAAAAACATTGACGTACAACTACAAATATAAACAACATGGACGCTGTGAGCGCTGTTCACCCATTTACGTCTTCGAAGCGCCTTGTCACCGTACTAGAGGTCGCGACGAACTTGATAGGATCTGTGTATTAAGAATACAGATTGTGAACACTCATTGCAATCCTGTTAAGACTGCTGCAGATTAGATTATATGCATCTTGTTGACCAGTCATCTATATATAGATGTGCATTTGTGTCTATAGTATTGCAGTCATGATCCCATATTGACGCGAATGGTCATTTGTTTATATTTAGACCGGGCAAGTGGTACATGTGGACACGGACTTAGCAAATATCATACGAGATTCAAGATACGCAGCTCACTTTGACTTCGATGTGGATCAAGACATTCCTGAGAAAGAAATGAAACCTCAGGTAGGAATGGTTTTTGATATAACTCTCACACAATGCGTGTGGCTGATTGGTTATAGTAAAGTCAGGCGTCATACCTGAAACCAGTTACAGGCGTCAAAACAGGGGAACTTAAATTTACCTGAAAATTTACATATCAAATATTAATGCATTCAAATATTGTTGCCGGAAACGTTCTCGGATTGATAACTTTTTTATTTGTTTATCACCAGCCAAATAACCCTAACCCGTTCGAAGCAGATGGCAAGACTCCAAAACCATGCACTGGTACAGGGAATTGAGTTCAATGCCTAGACGTGTGACGGCAACTACATATTGGATTATGGGTGTTCTGCATTAATCTACGCATTCACAGCAACGTGTATTGGTCATTATGCGGGAATAAACAGATTTGCAATTATACACTTGTGTACACGTATTAATAATCCCCTATTGTGATGTGTGAGTCGTGGTTAAAAAAGTA